GCCAAAGTCCCTGCCCTCGACCACTGCCCAACACACATTGCACCTGACCCCTACGGCCCCTCCCACAGGTGGTGAGCCCATGGGAAGGGGGACCCAAGTCTCCTCTTCAGGCTGTGCCCGTCCGGGCTCCATGGGTGAAAGCCCGGCCACCAGGCACTCGCCAACGCGCCCCACCTCCAGGCCTGGCTCCAGAGTGGGGCCCTGGTGACCCACGTCCGGGCATGGAACACTGTCCATTTATCGTACTCATCATAGGGGTCTTTGGGCTGCACTTTGTCTGATCCTTCACCAAGGACCTGTTTGCCTTGGGTGACCCTACTGGGGTCATGAAGCCCCCGACAACATAGCTCCTAGGATCGTTGGAACACTCAAACCTCTCCACCACGAAAAGGTGGCAGCCCAGGGAGAGGACTAATAACCTGCTAATAATTATAATAACTAGTAATGCTACACAGCGAGTACTAATACTATTAACTTCTGTTCTTGTCCTGTTTTTACAAATGAAACAAATTCAATTAGAACAAATTGTSTAAGGCTGCTCGTAGACTACAGGTCCATCTGAAACTTTACTGTAAGGTGAAAAATCTTTCATTTCATTCATGAAAATAAAACAAAATATTTACAGTGTAGCAAGACCGAGGGGAGAATCAGCAAGGGTGATAGTGTTTCTGCACTCTGACACACTGTTTACCTGTTGAGACACCACATCATATTTATTTAATTCTTTTCAATCAGACGCATTTACACCAAAGTGTCAGATCATTAGATTCAGTGAACTTTTCTCATAAGAAACCAGCTTTGTCTTTATGTTCATTGATTTCAAAATCAGAAATCAACTTCACAGAATAATGAATACAAATGGTAAAAGGAATAACATGAAAATTAAAGTTAAGGTTTATAAAACAGTTTAAAGGTAAAAACGAAGGTGGACTTAATGTTATAAGTAAAACTTTACAAAAAGGGTTGACACTTAAACCTGTTTAGAAGGAACAAAATAGATCTACCCCAAAGGAAATAGTTTTGTTGTCTATTAATTAATTCACAAATGACCCAGGTTAAAAACCTATCAAATCTTATCAGTTTGGAGAGGAAAATGTTAAGATCTTGGTCAGAGAATGGTGAGACACAAAAAACTGCTTTATTACAACTCATTTCAAAAAGCTCCATGATTTGATCAGTAAATAACTGTTTGAACCGGATGATTGATACTCAGAACTAACTAACTAACTAACCTAACACAGTTAGGAAGCTTAATTCTGTTCACTATTACTAACTACTGATCATTATGTCATCCAGGATGGTCCACCAGGGTCAGAAGTCATCCTACCTGTTCACCTGGACACTGTGACATCATCATGGTTGGAGTGGTGACATGCAGCTCAGTGAGCTCCATCAAGGCTCTGTGGGAGACCCGAATCAAGAGGAGGGAGGAGGAGCAGGAAGAGGAGTATAAGAGGAAGACAGCCAGGAGCGCCACAGGAAGGTTAGACTTCACCCATTCATATCCCACATTTACACAAGACAGGCTGGGGTAGTCGWCTTCCAATGACAGAGATGGCAGTTTGAGTCCATCTATGTTCAGTCAAATGTCAGAGTGTCCTTGGGCAAGACACTGTAGATGGCTAAATAACCTGGTTCATTATGAGACCTCCGACTGGTTAACCAGTCCAGTTTATTAATAGACCTCAGAATGGTTAACCAGTCCAGTTTATTAATAGACCTCAGAATGGTTAACCAGTCCAGTTTATTAATAGACCTCAGAATGGTTAACCAGTCCAGTTTATTAATAGACCTCAGAATGGTTAACCAGTCCAGTTTATTAATAGACCTCAGAATGGTTAACCAGTCCAGTTTATTAATAGACCTCAGAATGGTTAACCAGTCCAGTTTATTAATAGACCTCAGAATGGTTAACCAGTCCAGTTTATTAATAGACCTCAGAATGGTTAACCAGTCCAGTTTATTAATAGACCTCAGAATGGTTAACCAGTCCAGTTTATTAATAGACCTCAGAATGGTTAACCAGT